TTTTTTTCGTGACATGGTATACTATGGCAATAAAGATTATTTTCATTAAGTATCAATAAAATGTGTGTGTGAGTGTGTGTGCTATCATTTTACCAGATAATTTTTCACATGTAAGTGCCAAAATCTAACTTTTTCTTAACTGTCTTGTATGAATTTCTAATTTGTCTAATATTTCTGTATGTCAGTAGTTCTCAAACTTTAGTATGCATCAGAGTCACTTGGGGAATTTATTAATCCCAGATTGCTGGGCCTTGTGCCCAGAGATTCTGATTCAGTAGGTATGGAGTGAGACGTGAGAATTTCCGTGCCTAACAAGTTTTCATGTGATGCTGATGCTCCTGATCTAGGGACCACACTTTGGCGGTCACTGATTTAAATGACTCCCGTGTGATGGTTTATACCTCCTCGGATATCTTGTTTCCTTCTCAGCACTCACTGTTGACTGCACACAAGAACTGTAGCTTAAAGAGACTGTGATATTGGCCGTGGTGGACAACCAGGTGTGGGGTGCACGTGCCCTTCCAGAACGCGGGCAGCGGCGGCTCCCCATGGCAGAGCTGACAAGAACGACGGTCCTGCCAACAGTTCAGACTTCACATTAAGGACCACTTTTCACATGTGCAAAGGGTGGAACAACTATTGTTGGCCCATTAGTCTTTGCAGTAGCACATGCTCTAGAGATTGCAATCCACAACAGTTGTGTCATCTTTGAGTATGAAGGATGGCATTCTAATGCTGCTGCATCCAGAAAACAATTTTTTATTTATATTCTTCATTTCCTGATCAGAGCTCAGCCGAGTAAAATTCCAGGTATTAAGTGAGCTGATGCATCTAGTCAAATATTTATATCCATTTCACAGTTACTATGGATTCAATACTGGTGTGATTTGCTTTGTAAAGTGATTGTACCAATCTGTTATATAAAAGTCCAAAATTGTTGAGACAGAAAAGGATTTTTTTTTTTTTTTTTTTTTTTTTTTGAGACAGAGTCTCACTGTGTTGCCCAGGCTAGAGTGCCGTGGCATCAGCCTAGCTCACAGCAACCTCAAACTCCTGGGCTCAAGCGATCCTCCTGCCTCAGCCTCCCAAGTAGCTGGGACTACAGGCATGCGCTACCATGCCCGGCTAATTTTTTCTATATATTTTTAGTTGACCGATTAATTTCTTTCTATTTTTAGTAGAGACGGGGTCTCACTCTTGCTCAGGCTGGTTTTGAACTCCTGAGCTCAAACAATCCGCCCGCCTCGGCCTCCCAGAGAGCTAGGATTACAGGCGTGAGCCACCGCGCCCGGCCCAGAAAAGGATTTTTTAAAAAAATTTACTGTAGGGTTCCTCACCAAATGTAGTCAAATTACTCTATCTTTAATCATTTGATTTATAAAAACTGCTTTATACATATATTGGGCACAGGAAACACATCACTTATGGACTTGATTATACAAAATACAAATGCAATGTATGTACATAAAACTAATATAATGGGGTATTTATTCTTGAGGATAATGCGATATAGAAGACATAATCATAATTCTGAATTTGCCAGATAAATTACAATTCTCGTAAAGGTTTACATATTTATATTTTGATCAAATATTTTAATGTTGATGCATAATCAATGGACTTTGAATCAGAAAAATGCAGTGAGTTGATCAGCATATTTGATCAATGTTGCTTCTTTGTTTGAAATAATTATATGAAAAAATTTTGCCATTTCTCGAAATGGAGTTGAAGGAATGCCTGAGTACTTTAACCAATAGCTTTCACTAAGCATGCATGTATCCATAAAACTATGTACAGTTTTTAAAAATGTGTTTGCTTAAACTTCATATAAATACTGTTGCAATTGTATGTATCATTTTTTTCAATTTTTTTTGTCTCTGAACTATTAATTTAGAGATGGGGTCTTGCTATATTTCTCAGGCTGTAGTGCAGTAGCTATTCACAAGTGCAATCATAGTGTACTTCATCCTTGAACTCCTGGGCTCAAGCAATTCTCCTGCCTCAAACTCTGTAGCTGGGACCACAGGCCATGCCATTGTCCCTGGCCATTGTTTTAATTTCTGTGTAGTATTCCATTTTATATCCATAACTAAATCTGTTTATCTCTTCTCCTATGATGGACATTTAGGTTGTTTCCAATTTTTCAGTGCTAGAATGCTTCAGTGAATGTTCCTATAGCATATCTCCTTGGCACATATAGCATATAGGCAAGAAGTGAAACTAAATAGTGTACAAACATTAAAAGCTTCGTTAGATAGTGCCAAATTGCTCTCTAAATTAGTCTACCAAATCATATTGTAACTAGCATTGTGTAAAGGTTGTTGTTTCACATTTTCCCCAATACCTAATAATGTGAGAGTTTTTAATCTTGAAAAGTGTGAAATTGTATTTCATTGTAGTTTTTATATGCAATATTCTTAATATTCCTAATTTCCAGTGCACAGAGAGGCTGTGTTTCTTTTCTTATTTTTGATTATTTGGGTTTTCCTTTTCTGTGAACTGTCCAGTTATAGTCTACGCCAATTTTCTATTGTGGTGTCTTTTTCTTACTGATGACAAGTCTTAATATAATGTGAATACTCTATTGTTGGTTATATACCTTGAAAATATTTTCTCCAGGTTAGTGACTTGTATTTTAATTTTATTTCACGTTCCAGATGACCTTTAACAGACATGGAGCTGAGTAAATAATAACTCTCTCTTGTCTTAAACCACTAAGATATTTGGAGTTGTTCATTACTCCAAGATGACTTGGCATATCCTGGTAGATATAATGGTGTAATTTATAATTTGATAATTGGAAGAATGATAACCAAACACCCTGCATTTGTTAGAAGATTATATGTTAATGTCTCTCTTTCTTTTCAATTCCTTCCCCTCAACCTCCTTCCAATTGCATCATTCTTGGTGCACTCATATTCTCCAATACTCGTAACTTGTCATTCAATTTTGAGTTAACTTTTAGTAGCCTGCGTTTCATCTCCCAGCCTGTATTTTTTCCCTCAAGCCTGCTTTTCCTCTCATGTCTATTAAAGGTCATCCAGAACTCTGCTGTCTGTCTCACTCAGGGAGATTCTATCTCTTCACTTCCATGATTGCTGAGCCATGATTAGAAAATATGGCAAAAAAACAGGCCGTTCCTAGAGCTTCTATTTAAAGCTTCTACTCAGGAGTGAACCCATTGGCAAATAAGTCTCATGGTCATGCCTGAACACAAAGAGATTAGAAAGCGTAGTCCCACCATTTCCCAGAAGGCTGGAAACATTGGGTAGACTACACTAATGACTGCTACATTGATTCAGTATCATCTGTAATGGTTCCAAGATGATACCTGAAAAGATCAATGTTTTACCTAAAATCCTTAATAATTATTATCATTTTTATGGCCCTATGATGAGGGGTCATTTGTGAAAAGCAGGCATTTTCAGCTTTCTCATATCAGATCATATTGGTTCCCACCACCTTGATACACATTTTAGACTCTGATATTAAAGATCTGTGATTCTTTGTTGGGGACGATCGCATTCACCAACTTGTGTATTTGGTATCCGATTTCTGGAATGATAAGATTAAGACGGCAAAGACGAGAGGTAGAGGTGGCACTAAGAAGATACTAATACTTCCCTGGAATGCAACAGGCTTATGTGGCAGGACTACACTAGTGCTTTCGCTTTAAGAGGGAAGGCACAGGACCTCTCAAACGGAAGGCAGGTGTGAGAAGGGGCATAGCAGTTGGCATCAGTCAAATTCCTGCTTTGTAATTTTCTTTTATGAATTCTGGTGTGGATTACAGATATCCTGAAAAGTCATCTCAAATGTCAGAAGCTACCATTATACTTGTGATAGTTTCACTAAAGAATATCAAAAGTTTTTGATGTTATAATACTATCTTGCTAAGCTTCTTGCTCCTAAAAAATGAATGTTGATTGGTTAATTAAAGTTTATATATCTCTCTTTTTAGGTGGTTCTTTGGAGCAATCAAAAGAGCAGATGCAGAAAGACAACTATTATATTCAGAAAATCAGACGGGTGCCTTTCTAATCAGAGAAAGCGAAAGCCAGAAAGGGGATTTCTCTCTTTCAGGTATGGACTTTCTTTTGTGTGATTCAAGTATGGGTTTGAGAGTCTGCAGTTATGAACCTGTGAACATGAACGTGATAATTTTAAATTTGCCTTATTTCTTATCTTCACAATATTAAATCTATTGAACTACTCAAGAGTAATACAAAACCAGTAGAAAAATCTATGGCTAGAAGCCTCTATAAACAGTTTCAAATAAATGCACTCTGAATATGAAGTGGAAAACATATGGATCTGCCTACATTTTCTCACTTTTGCATTATCTAGAGTCCTTTTAGGGAAATAAATGAGAAGCAAAAATTATACTGTTATCAAAATTGGTCTTGTCACAATATAATTTTTTTTCTTACTGCATTTCACTTGTCTTTGTCTAGTAAATAGAAAGTGAATTGAAATGCTTAATGCAAATGCATTTAATTAACCCCATAACATGTACAATTTGGTCAAGTGTAATTTTTCACCTAAGGGTTAAGTACATGTTTACACTGCCCTAGGGAAAAAGCAGCACAGGGGACCTGAAAAATATCTTTTAAGAGGCATAGGTACCTACATGTATGTCTTTGCTTTAAAAAAAATCTGTGTTTTTAGGTGTATATTGCCATGCTGCAGAATGTCTTTTCTCAAAGACTCTGCAATAGTTCATGTCTAAATGATGAGATTTTCTCTCTTATTGCAGAGTTCTGATCTCTGTATTGTCTAGGCTTGTCATTTGTATTATCATCCCCTTTAAGTATGTATTCTGTTTCCCCAACTAGATGTAAACTATAGGGGAAGAGTCTTTGCTTCCCTTAATTCCTGTTGCCCTGAAATAAATGCTTATTAAACATGACACCCCTGTACCTCATCGTGTCTGTCTGGCTCACTGAGCTGGAAGTCGGGGCAGCCTTCAAGGTGCCATGTTGAAGGAAGCCCTGAGCCCACATGTATTGGGAACTTCGACCTGACCTGAACTCTGGCCAGGCTGTGTGCACTCGGTACTTATTACCCTTCCACACATCTGGTGGTCCCAAATACCAGGGCAGATGGGTTGGAGCTGGAGAGAATCAAGGGCAGTGGTGTTGAGGGTCGGTACTTCAGTTCCTGCCTATTCTGGCACTGAGTCAATATCATATTCCAGAATTGTGTGGATTCAACTTCAATGCTATAATACCCAGCTCCATGCATAAGAGGTTAGAAAATGTGTCTAAGTATGATGTGTCACTGACCTTTTACATGTTGCTTATACCCAAGGTGATAATCAAAATATTTAGTGACTGATATGGGATAAGTATTAGCCACTCAGAACAGATGCCCGACTACTCTGGGACTTCACATCAATGAACAGCTGTATATATTCAAGGGACAGAAGTGAACATTTTATATAATAACTTTTTTTCTGATTATGAAGAAATATAAAAATTTTTACATAAACAGAACAGCTTAAAGAATAATCATCTATCCTCAGGGACAGTGCCTATTAAAAAAAAGAATAATCACCTAAAATATCACTTTCTGAAAATACATTTTAAATATTAGAATATCTTTCCTGTCAGACTTTTAAAAAATTCTTGACCTATAAGTGTATTAATTTATACACATATAATATACACTCATATCCCCATACACAGAAAACAAAATTGAGATCATCTTGTAAATAATGAAATATATATGTGTACACACATACACATATTTGGGTATATGCACATATGTGTCTGTGATATGGATCCAGGCTCCATTTTTCTTATTTCTGTCTTGCAGTATCTTGTGAACATTCTTGTGTGTCCTTTAATATTCTTCTCCACTATTATTTTTAGAAGTCATATAACTGCATTCTATGAGTGTATCATCATTTATTTGACCTATTTCATATTTTGTACATTTTCATTATTTTGCTAGTATGAAATAGTATACAGTAGACATTGTTGTAGATAAATATTTGAATATTTGAATATTTCCATGAGAATATTATACTCAGAGGGAAAAAACTGAATCTTTTTGAAATCTCTATGCTTAAAAAGAAGAGATTTAAGAGAATTCCTTGTTTAAATTCATCCATGTTTGTTTATTTGCCTTTGCCAATATTTATGTATCAAATGAAGTGGCAGTTATTTAGCCAAAAGCTAGATTAAATGTTTTGATTGGAATTAAAAATATAGAAGTATGATATTTCCATGAAGAAAACAAACTAAAAGTAGAATTACCCAAGTCATATTTTGAATAATGCTCAGGCTACAGTGACTGCTTGGAATAGTCTCTAAGTAGGGTATTATGGAACAAAACAGCTTTGCAGGCTTAGAACAAAATTACAAGGATATTGGCTTATATGTACTATGAATACTCTAGAGCTTGCTGTGGATTTAGGAAGCTGTGTAGGCCTTGCCTAGAGACCAGCATACCATTACAGATTCTTTTTCAATGAAGTCAAACAATTTAGACTCTTTCAAACAAATTATCTGATTGCTGTGTATTCACATGGGGACAAAGTAAATGCTTACCATTATGTTACACTGAAAGGAAAACTTTCTTATTAGCTAGAGGTAAGGCTAGCTATACAGGAGAAAAATGGAAAGAAAATGGTCTTTGATATATATCTGTAAACAGACAAACAAACAAACAACCCAACTGCTGATGGTTGATTATCAGTAAGCATCTGCAGATATACCTCTCATGGATTTATTTTGTAGTGCAGTTGTCTCCTTAATCAGTCAAGATTGATGGTCTTCTATTTTGCTGACTGCTATGCTGCTAAAGGAAGGCAAATAATATCCCCATTCCATCTCTGTCTTTCCCATATGAGTTTTCCTTAGAAGTATTGTCTTTATTCCTTGGGCAGCAATGGCTTGCAGCTGTCAGAGAAGAGCTTCATGAGGGAGCATGATTTATTGATGCTGGGGTGGGCTCCGAGAAATGGCAGCCCAAGCTTAGGGTGGGTGCTAATTGGGTTGTTGTGATCCTTGCATGGCTGTCTGCTCTTGTGAGGTCTGAATAGATATGAAAAGAGAGTTAGGGCCATGACACCTCTCATAATGGCAAGACACTAATTAGCTGTGAATTACAGCAGCGCTTTTGTATATTACATATTATATGTGGTAGCCAGAGAATCTGTCTTCATTAGATGCCTGACAGGTAGTTTTAGTGTCCCTACTGTTATTTGTCATTGATAGTGAATTGTTTTTCTGATGAAAAATACCAAATTCTGACTGCATGTCAACTGGTTTGGCTATTTCAATCAATTCAATCAATTGATTGACTTCAATCAATTACCTTAAAGGAAATTATTGTTGCTATTGCCATTAATATTCATTGGATGTTTGGTGCCCCATAAACATTTGTATTATTGTTTAAAGTATACTTTAAGGAAAATGCACTTTGGGGGCTAAAATTGATCTGCAGATGAGTTTTCCAGAAGAGAGTCTGTATTGAACATTGTGATGTTATTTCAGGCAACTCTGCATATGTAAAAAACCTGCAGAGTGGTAGAGCTTCCCCATTCATTTTCAGTGAAACCCTTTCAAGAGCAAATAATAACAAATTGAAGATAGTTGAAAAATGACTACATTGAGGACATAAGGCAAAAGAGCTCATCAATAATACTCCAGATGATGCATGTAGGAGCTGACATCATTTATTTATACATTTGTATATTTCTTCAACAAACATTTAGAGTGCCTACTGTGTGCCAGGCCCTCTGCTGGTGGAAGGGTAGCCAGGACCAGCAGTGCACAGTCCCTGAACTCAGGGTAGGGAAGAACCATAATGCAGTTGTTTTGTTATGAGACAAGAGAGGGCAGGGGCCGAGTCTCTGAGGGGGAGCCAGGGAAGGTTTCCCTGACAAGGGAGCATTTGGGTTCTGTATCAATCTGTGTTACAAGGTGGCTGAGGGGGAATGATTATGTCTTGCAAATATGAGTGCCCAGAGTTGTGAGTACATCTAGTGCTTTGTGGAGTGGTGGGAAGGGTGGAGGACAGTGCAGCTGTGTGTGTGTGTGTGTGTGTGTGTGTGTGTGTGTGTGTGTGTGTGTGTGTGTATCATGCTGAGGAACTCGGACCTTGTTCTACAGAGGAAAGTACTAAGCAGAAAGTGATGGGTCTGATCGTATGTTACATAGTTACCTTTGTTATGGACAGTGGATGAGAGATTTATGGACAATAGTCTGGGGGAGATGTGAGAGAAGCAAACACAGTGGCATCGCTGGCTGCTATCTGAAACCACAGGTTCCAGATGAGCAGAGTCCAGCGTTCTGCACAGAGGTGTGGCCACACTTAAACTCAGCTGGTTGCGCTGTCTTCGCTCCAGCACAGGGCGTCTCCAGGAACTGTAGGACTCCTCTGTTGCTCTCCTTTTCTTATGGGGCACGTGTGGGAGAGGCCTTAGGACCAGGGATAAAAAGACTGCTTTGATGTTAAGCAGTCTGAGTTCAGGTATCAACTCTTTGCAGGGTTGTTCAGACGGCCCAGCACCTAAGGGCTTCAGGCCTATAGGAAGTTGCGGCTTCTCGGGCTCAGAAGAGAAAAATCACAGGGCCCGTGGGAAGTTGAGTTCAGGCGCAGCCCCTCATCTGGGGGTGATGGGTGGGCCCAGTGGGCCCTTTGCCGTGCAATCCAGGAAGATCCCCCAGGAGTCTTTCCTACATAGTCCTCTTCTCTCCACAGACATCAGCCTGAGCCAGGACAGAGTCACAGGAAATGGAGAGAAGGGAATAGAGGTGAGAAATATCTAGAAGACAGAACCAACAGGAATTGGTGGCTAATCAGGAATGGGGTAAAATAAGAGGGAAGGAGAATCTCGGATGGATGTCAGATCTCTGACCTGAGTAATTGGGGGATAGTAGTGGCTTTAGCCAAACTAGGTATATAGGAGGAGATGATTTACAGTGAGAAGGGAAGGAAACCAGGGGAAATAACCTCAGAGGTGCCAGAGGCCCTTGTGGGTGGACATACAAGTAGCCTTTTTTTTTTTTTTACTCATTTTTTACTTGTTTCTACTGATTTTGAGCAGAGTACTTTCTGTGATAAAATTTCAT